CCCCCCATGTTTTTTGAAAGATTCCATTTACCCAACAAACTGTTTTTCCATTTTTCAATATCAAATAAAAGACATATATAACCACTGTTCTGGAGGATATGTTCGTGAACGAATATAACAAATATTCTTATTTGTAACTTACAATTTCCCGCCTTAAGTGACGCTGCTAGTTTTTGTTTTGTTATTATTAAGTACATGAAGGGCTATCTGTGCTCTGCCCACCACTAGTATCGAAGTCCGCATACATACCACTGCGGGGTAACGCTGCTAGTATGCTCTAGCTTACATCTGTTTATTAGTGTTCATTACAAAATTTGTATTTTTTTGCTTGTTGCCTCCTAATTTAGCGATTTACAGTTTCTTATCATAGAATGTAATGATTTTCTTTTCAGAATGGATGTAAAGAGAAAATTCTTAAACTCCTTGAAAAATATAAAATTGTTTGGATCTTAGCGATTGGTTTAATCTTCCTTAAGCAGGTAAGAAGCTAGATATGAAGATTTAACTCTTGCCTTTCTCAAAGTGATTTAATTTGAACTGCTTCTTCCAAAGTTTTCTTCCTATTGACTATATGCTTTCAAATTGATAATGCGTAAATAAAGAAGTAGAAATCCAAATGTAACTGAATTTTATAGTCATCGAGAATGATGTTAGATATAGGGTGCAACTGTAAAGTATTTTTTGTTTTTTTAAATTCATATCAACTTCTACGCATGTGTAAAAAAAACAAAACAACAAAACACGCTTCATAACATTATGATTTATTGTTATTGATTAAGTCTTCAGCCTGGATCTAAAAATTTATTCACTTTACATTTCAAACATCAGAAATCCGTTATCGGACCCGCCCACCATTCTACTCCAGTATATTATAATAACCGTAAAGAAGTTTTTGATAGAAAAGTAACTATTTATATTATAAAAAGATATAATTTGTTTACGTATATAAAATATATATTGTACAGTAATATATTGTTATATATATTACATTATTATTATAATGCTCTCGTTTACTTCAAGGGGGAAAAAAACTACGTTTACAAGATTTCACTTTGTTTCTTATGTCATACATTTGAATATTTTATTATGCTAATTTTAACTTTGTATTTTAGTACGTGTTCCCTTACTGTAATTACAATACCATTTTCGAATTATAAATATGTTGCCACTGGAAGTAATTAAAAATGATCACTGCGAAAAAAGTAATCATGTTGAATATTTTATTATGCTAATTTTAACTTTGTATTTTAGTACGTGTTCCCTTACTGTAATTACAATACCATTTTCGAATTATAAATATGTTGCCACTGGAAGTAATTAAAAATGATCACTGCGAAAAAAGTAATCATGTTGAATATTTTTCGCACAGATGGGAAGCATTATTCTCGCCATCTGCCTCATCAACCAGAAGAATGGATCAAGAAACAGAGATAAAGAACCACCGGACATTTAGCATAAGAAAATAAATCTATGAACTGCATGGCTGTATTTATGATAGAATAAGATATGGAAATATTTTTCTAGTTGCAAACAATAATTTGTCATAAAGCTCGTCAACTGAAAAAGCTACCGACAAGCACATGGTGTAATTAATAGGCTTAATGACTAAAATATCCATCTTAACTGCATAATGTTGATTAAAAAAAAAAGTCCTATTAGGAGATGATTATAAGGAAGCAGTTGTTGAAAGTGTTATTTTATAAAACAATAATTCAACTATTTGCGTTAAAACGTATTATTTAAAGTTGATTATTATTTTAGAAACGATTGCGTGAGTGTATTCTCGATGAGGAAAGGAAAAAAATGTTAAATCCTTAAATGGGATCAAATACTCCTTATTCTGCTGGTTTCTGATTGTCAGCTTCTTGTGGGAGTTAATTTGAGGGAAACGTGGATACTGGGGAGTTTTGGACCTCCTGCTTTGATGGATTCTGATTATTCGTGTTTTGTGGGAGTTAATCTGAAGAAAACGTAGTAACTGGTATGATCTGGTAGCCAGAATACTAGATCAATGTCGAGTGCAAATATTTAACGCTTAGCTTTAGGCGTTTTATTCAAACGTCCAATACTTTCTAGTACTGGTTTAGTTGGGACTCGCAAGCATTTTTTTGTTTTTCATATTGTATTACTGTATGAAAAACTAAAAGCAACTGAGAAATCTTGTATACAAAAACTCTTCATTCTCTTGAAGCCTGTAGACATAAAGTGCAAATGGTTGAAGTAGTAACCTTCCTTATATATTGTATTATACATATAGAACGTGGAGTTTAGGACGCCATCTTGAATCTTCTACCATAGACCAAGAACTGCTAGGCCCGAAGAAGCCGCCATGGCCAAAAGTTGGTTGAAATAATAAGTTGTTTTGTTTTTGTTATTACTATTTGGAGAGTAAAGGCCATTCTTTCTAACTTTATTGTCAAAGTGTCTGAGGCTTTTCAGTATGCACTATAAATTCTGAAAAAAAAAGCAAAATATTTCTATAGTGATATTATCTACAGCAATAGAGTGTTCGTTGACAAAATATAGCATGTTAGGCTTAGCTTGAGTGTATTTCATTTATCCAACTAATCTAGAATCGGTAAAATAGAAAATAGTTTCATTGTACACAATAATCAGTTTGTAGGTAATTCAATTTTATTAAACGGCACGTGTGTCCCTTTGGAGTTTTGTAATTTGTTATAAGAATAAATATTTCAACATTCTAACTCTTTAGAAGCTATTCAAGTTCCTTCGAATACTTATTTTCTCAGGTGAGTCGGATGTGGCGTTTTCTTCTTAGCGCTATACTACTTGTACGATTTTTTGTTCATTACTATTGTCAGTTTTTTTATACAGCCCTTGCAGTGAAAAAGGGGATACCCGACACACCACACCTCAAATCAATCAGGAGAAAGGTGCTAACCTGCAAACAGAAGAAGATGTTGTTACGAAAAAAACCCCCTTGACCGCGTGTTTATAGGAATGATTTACATATGGCAATGTAGTGACATTTGCAAGCTGTGGTTCCATGTTTAGCACTTATATAACTGGTTACAAGCAATGTTACTACGGATAACCCTACGGCTGAAGATATATGTCACAGACCTGTATGAGAAATGCTCATACAGAGAGATACTGATAAATGGTTTACAAGGAAGCCTTTAAGTTCTCTATGAAAGTGGACAATTTTTCCCATATTAGAATGTTTAGGACACCATTAATCTCCAAAAAACACACCTCACATAAATCAGGAAAAAAATGTGCTATTCTGTCAAGAGTTGAAGGTTTTGCTACAAAAGATAATCCTCTGACCCCAACAAGTCATTGTGACGAAGTTAAACCATATATCTCTGTTCCCTTAACAAGATAACGAACAATAATTTGAAGTTGACTAAAGCATACAAGCCACACTTCAAAATTATTGGCTGTTTGTATGAGAAAGGTGATCAAAACCGGAATCACAGCAATCCCCTGTGACTATACTAGTAAAGTATGCAGCTTTATTGAACAGTTGTACGTTTGGTCTGCTTAAATATGTATAGTCTTGGAAGCCAATATCCACATACAGTGAAGGAGATATGTACAGCTTTAAATATATATATATGGTCTAAGATTGACCTGCGCCCGGCATGGCCAGGCGGTTAGGGCGCTCGACTCGCAATCTGAGGGTCACGGGTTCGAATCCCCGTCCCACCAAACATGTTCGCCCTTTCAGCCGTGGGGGCGTTATAATGTGACGGTCAATCCCACTATTCTTTGGTAAAAAGAGTAGCCCAAGAGTTGGCGGTGGGTGGTGATGACTAGTTGCCTTCCCTCTAGTCTTACACTGCTAAATTTGGGACGGCTAGCGCAGATAGCTTTGCGTGAAATTCAAAAACAAACAATTCCAATAGAATCACTCATCACTTTGCCAGACCTTGAAACGTTGCGGATGCACACTAATACTCACAACTATTACCAGATCTATTATCAAATCATATAGAAGTAAGGTTTAAGTCGATCTCCCTCTTTCTTCAGTGCTCACAACTATTACCAGATCTATTATCAAACCACATAGGAAGTAAGGTTTAAGTCGATCTCCCTCTTTCTTCAGTACTCACAACTATTACCAGATCTATTATCAAATCATATAGAAGTAAGGTTTAAGTCGATCTCTCCTTTCTTCAGTACTCACAACTATTACCAGATCTATTATCCAATCATATAGAAGTTAATAGTTGTGAGTACTGAAGACAGAGGGAGATCGACTTAAACCTTACCTCTATATGATTTGATAATAGATCTGGTAATAGTTGTGAGTACTGAAGAAAGAGGGAGATCGACTTAAACCTTACCTCTATATGATTTGATAATAGATCTGGTAATAGTTGTGAGTACTGAAGACAGAGGGAGATCGACTTAAACCTTACCTCTATATGATTTGATAATAGATCTGGTAATAGTTGTGAGTACTGAAGACAGAGGGAGATCGACTTAAACCTTTTTGATAATAGATCTGGTCATATAGGAGGTAAGGTTTAAGTCGATCTCCCTCTGTCTTCAGTACTCACAACTATTACCAGATCTATTATCAAATCATATAGGAGGTAAGGTTTAAGTCGATCTCCCTCTTTCTTCAGTATAAATGTTCATGGTTGTATTATCTAAATAACCGAAGTATTTTAAGATCTATATTTTCCGCTACATCAACTTATTTTACAACAATGTGTTCGTTTATTATTAAGCACAAAGCTACATAAAGGGCTATCTGTGCTCTGCCCACCACGGGTATCGAAACCCGGTTTCTAGCAGTATAAGTCCGCAGACATACCACTGTGCTACTGAGGGGCACAACAATGCAAGAAGTCCCAAATCGAAAAAAAAATACGTAACAGATAAACAATCAGTTCCCACAATTTTCATGAAAATTTCAAATACCTTTATTATAGTTTTCTTGCTGCTGTGCTTGAATTTCGATATGAATACACATTAGGCCCAAACAAATCAAAGTAAATGTTCCCGAAATTCATTGAAAATTGCCTTGGTGCTTTTGTGATTTACTTCTGCTTAATCAGGATTTGTTGTATTTCTTCTGGAGTGTCATGTTAAACACCGAAGAAGATTCTTATAAACGAAGGTGAAAGGAGCTAAAAAACAAACAAAAAAGTATGAATAACTACAGCCAAGAATTCGATACCAATGATTAGTGATTATTAATAAAATCCCACAAAGATTCTTATGTATGATACCTGAAAAGTCCCATTCAGATTTGTTATTGAAGATAAATTTAAGTAACCATGTAAAATTTTAACAAACTGATGGACATTATTCCAAACAACAGCAATACTTAAGGCAACATTGAAGGATTTACAACAAACAGAACAACAATAGGTATTATGAAGATTTTGTAAATATATATATATATATATATATAATTTGTTTGAAATTAAGCACAAAGCTACACAATG